GTTCCACGCTTGTCGTAGGGGCGGACTAGGTCTACAACTGCGTCTCCCTCATTGCTGCGCTCCGACATGTTGGGAAGGAGAGACGCACTAATAAGGAAGCAAAGCGGTAGGCTTGGACTAATATGGAGGGACAGATTATAGTGAGAACATTTCCTAGCCTCCTCACCTGTCCCTGGTTTTCACCTTCATCGCCTCCACCACCTCCGCTTCTAGTCCTTCCAAGAGCTGTACTGTCACCGTTTTCTTTCTTGTCGTTTTCCTTCAACAAAACCTTGGGTATTTATTACAATCATAGGGGAGGAAGTTGGGCGCTGTTCGGCTTGGAGGGGCATTTCGCGCTCTCCCTAGTCTCTTTTGCTAGTTCCGTAGTGCTGCTGTTAAACTACACGTCTCACCATGGAAAACCTGTAGACTCTTGTCAAGTGTAAACGAAGCTTTTGCTATTACATGGCTTCACAGGTCTCCACAAGAGGCAGTGATCGATAGGAACTAGTAAAATGCCCACACTAAGTCGAACTGCGCCGAGGGTTGATACCTCTTCTTCGTCATCATCATCGCCTTTCTCTTATCTTCATCCGATCTCAGACATGACATATACGGTCGCAATTCAGGCATAGGATTTATAACTGAACAATAGTACTATGAAACGTACCACTTCACAAAGTGAGAGATGGGGCACTTTTCAACCATAAGAACTTCAATTCTCTAACATCTGTTGTAACCTCGTACCTAATGGTTACCTCAGTGTCCAAGAAAAAAAAATATGTGACAATATGTACAATCGTAACTCGCCACACGCACTGGTTGCGTCGCGTGCGACATTCGCGCCCTGACGGTATTCAGACTGCACACCGGGAGCAACATAAATAACCAAAAAGTAGCCATAAAATGTCTACGATAGTCTACAGGCAACCCGTGCTCCAATAACAGGCTAGTGCAAACTGAGATGAAGCCGCGTTCATGGGTCTACCGGACAGCTAAAACTCAATCCCTTTAATGACGCCAACTTTCTTTTCTCTGCACTCTCTTCCTGGATGGCCACTTGAACGCATTTTTTTTTTTTTTTTTTGACTTTCACATTCCAACTTTTCACGCATACTAAGTGGCTCATCCACCCCGATATCCCTTCCCTCGAAAAACTCATCTCCTGGCTCGCATCGTGTTTTTTGTACCTCACGATGCCTTGGCAGTGGCAGTCCCTTATTGCTCTGCGCTCTGGCCTATCGTGGCAGGACCCCCACCAAAAGTTTTAGTTGTCACGTAACCGCGTTCATGACCGCAAAATCCTGACTTCCATTCCCCAAAATATGGGTTTAGTCATTGGGAATGACACAGTTATTTTTGACCCCGGCGCAAACAAAATGAGGCGGTCGTGTTATGGCAGAGAACTAAACACATTAGCGCAAAAAAATAGCTTCTGGGCATGTTCATGGAATAATGCCAAAAATGTTATAAATCCCAGTGCAGATGTAGCACGGGCCCGTTATGCGTCAATTCAAGAGACAGTAAGTCAAATAACACGTCATGGCGCAGTTCGGCGACGGTGGAGGGGTGGGGAACTCGAGTTAACACGTTTTACAATGATGGTTTTACGATCTTGCTCCAGCTTCACAAGTGATCACCAGGTTTCACTATAGTAGGACTCGTCAACCGGAAGTAAGGAAGCAATGAAAGTAGAAAAATGCGCTCCCCCCCCCCCCCGTGCCGAACTGCGCCCACGTCATTTATGAAACATTATCAGTAATTTCCCAATACATGTCCTTAAAGTGTCTTGTGACGTCATCATTTGTCTCTTAACAAGTAATGGTAGTACTAGACGTCATAGCTGCACTGCACTAGATCAGCGAATAAGACCCAATAATCACTTAATATAAAGTAAAACTGGTAGGAACGTATAGCAAGAGGTACCTGTGCATGAGGGAGGAATTCGTTGCAAAACCAAATTCATTTCTGTTTCCGCAACTTCTTCGAGATCTTCATTGACACCATTGATCGCTATCGCTGAATCCTAAAAACAGAAATTTTGGAGGATTGCTCGGAATATGACGATAAACAAAATCATGGGGCACAAAAAATGCAAATTAATATTAATAACAGTCGAGAGCAATGTTTCAACTAAATCTCACGTCGCTCTCATTTCCTCCTCTAGCTTCGATAACTCCTGCTTTGACAGCTTCCTTGCGCTGTTTCCGGAATTCCTTGTCTCCGTTTCCACCTCTCTACTAAAAACAATCGAAAGAAACTTGTCGAACGGTGAAATCAATCAAGGCTTGTTCCTCGGGAACGAGATGGGCGGAGACTCTGCGTTCATCACTGTTACAGCTTCTCTGGAGGGAAAAAGGAAGCACATCTGTCTTGAGTCTCTGCCCATCCCATTTTCACGGAATGTGCCTTCAAGTCCGATGGTACAGCTACGAAAACACCATAAGTCGCTTTGGACGAGAAAAATTTTTTTTGGCAGTGGTGTGGACTGTAAAAAATGAAGAGATCCGCGGGTGTAATTCGGCTTGGTGGACACACAATGGTACAGTCCTCATCATTACGGACTGTCGAGGCGGCATAGGTGCGCTGCACTGGGACGCGACAGCGGCTCCGGCGAATCAGCTGATATCAATAGAATTCGGCTGCAAATTCCTAACATTTCAGCTCTCAAGCTTCTAAAATGGAAGGAAAGTGGAAGGTGAGTAATCTGAAACAATATTGAATTGTACTGGCTCTGATTTCCTTTATTTTTATGTCGATTGGTATGCTCTTTTCCTTGTATTTTGCTTATTTCAGGCATTTATTCAAATGTTGGCTTGCATTTCAGATTCATTCAGAGTCAGTACAATTTGAAAATTGCTCAAAATAACTCACCTTCCACTTTCGAAGCTCGAAGAGTTGAAAAAGTGGGAACTCGCATTCCATGGAAATCAGGCTGACTCGCCGTCATCGAGCGCTGTCGCGTCAAATTGCAGCGCGGCTGTGCCACCCCGACCATCCGTAATGATGAGGACTGTACTCATCAGGAAAGGATGGTTGGTCGAAGTGGCCATTCGAAATGAGATGTATACTGCCCGATGGGCCCTTGGACGCTGATTACAAATCTGCCCTCCATATCTGCTAAACGATTCCCTGGACAAAGTATGCAGGAATTTTGACCAGGTCACACCCATTTCCAGCATGTATGTGAGGCACACCAAAACCCCCAAATTCGCTAAAATCTGAAACTAAAGGTGGATAGTTATTTTTCGTGAAAATATCTTGTTCGCATTCTGGAGGGGCAGGGTGTGCAGGACCTGCAACTCCCTTGGCAAGCGTTTTTACGCCGAACGAGTGTGATATTCGTGTTCTGGGGCTCAAATTAGCCCTAGAGGCAAGTTTTCAACCAAATCTGAGATTTCGACCTATTTTTGAAAAGGGGTAACCATGGGCAACAAAGTTGTAAGGGGCGCTGGCACCATCGCCGATCAAAATCTCTGTGGTCAATGGAGCTTTTCCGCTAAATCTCAGTCCTTGTTGGTTACTGACGGTCCTGATCACAAACACGACATTCACTTTTGGCTTCCATGCCATTTGGAATCAGTTTGGCGACACAACACAACGTAACGAATAATGCCGCCGAAACCAACAATCAAGGGTATCCTTCAGGAGTGTTCCAGAATGGCTCCATTCCTTCAGAAACAACATTTTCGGTAAGATCAGGTCTCCTAACCCCGCAAAAGTGCTTTTAGGATGTGCAGAGGGCATTTTCGAGAAAATGCAAGAGGACCAGTTAGCGAAGGTTTCGAACACTTGACCCTTCACTCATGAGGTCGGTCGCTTCCCCACTACGCCATCGGAGCACATGGTCAATGTGCTCACCCATCATTTAGATACTTGCTGAGCATTGGTGGTCTCGAGCAGTGGTCTGCTCAACAAGCCTCCATAATTCTGCTCGGAGAATCGTTTAGCAGATTTGGAGGGCAGATTTGAAATCAGTGTCCAAAGACGCATCAGCCGGTATACATCTCATTTCAATGCCACTTCGACTAACCATCCATTTCTGGTCAGCTAGGTTTCTAAAGGCTACCTTGTATAGACGTGGGAACTCCTTATACCAAAGTGGTTCAGTCGTAGCATTACGCAGCTTCACAGAAGTTTAAAGGTCCCCCCACCCAAAAAAACGAGAAATGTTGGTGGCAACTCTTTCAACGGAGTCACTGCCAGAAGCGGCGAGCAATGACTGGTAGAAAATGAGCTGGACACTGTGCCAAAATCTATGCCACAATGTCGCCCCGTGGATTCAGTTTTTAAGGGAAATATTAAGTTGTTGAATAAGCTTCCCCGTCGAATTTTTTAGCAAAATATCATCAATAAGCGAACCAGCTAAAGATTATAGAGATGCACCATAACAAAAAAGCCACTACTACGACGACCAATGGCTACAGGCAGCTTGTCGATTCCTCGTTTTAGAAGGAGGAGGCTTGGACCGAAGAACAACGGTGCCCACAATCATACTGTTAATGGTTTGCACTGGTATTGATGTGCGGCCATATGTCCTGCAAATGCAGGGTGGGTGAGTGATAGCTACTGGTGGTGAAAGATACAACGTCATGCAACACGATGATGATGAAATACACCTGCAATGCAAACAAAATACTAAGATCCAAAACACGGGGGGGGGGGAACTTATGGCAACAACCTAATAATACAATAAGAGCGCGAAATAGACCGCTTCAGACAAGAGTTACTGACACATAATTGTCGCTTCTTCCGTATTTTTGGACTAAACTGTGTGAACATAAGTGATGTGCTGATGCATGCACATCAATTAGTTGTTATGCAGAGACGTTCCATTTCTCTCATAACGATTGAGGAACCCTGTTCTTCGATACGGAACCTCGTAGGTCATCGGTCTGCCCTGAGATCTGAAAATGCGCGTCACGTGTCATAAATAAAGATGAGTGCGTGACAAGACAAAAACGTATCTGCCGCGCTGCTGGAGCGTGATCAGGATGCCGCCCGCGACAAGTGAATGTTGCAGCCGTACACTAATGTTCTATAAACTCTTCTACATTCGCAAGTAGGAGTTCCTGCATAGCAAGAGACATAAAGTAGGGATGTAGCTCCGTGCGGGGCGTTGGAGTATACCCTTGTCTGCAAGCGGCTCACAGCCGCATAATGACGTTCGCGCGAACTGCACGCGCTAAACTACGATTGCCTTGACCCTTTCCACTATGATTCGGTTTAAGCTTCAAAATTCGAAGAAAAATACCTCCGTGTGGATATAGGTATGCGGTTCTGGAAATGGTGGGAAGAATTCATGGACATAAGGAGGATGAGGACGAGATTGCCACGCAGCATTGAGAGGTAGCAAGTGGAGGTTCTGACGCTCAACAGTGCTATAATGAAGAAAAGTGAGTGATAATATTCACAAGCATAGTAGGAGCGCGTTCTATATTTTCTCAGATGTTTTTGAGCGACTAGGAGGGCATAGGTACCAATCTAGTGCTTCAAGAGCTCGCCAGAGAGTGTTATGTTAAATCGACATTTGTACTTTTCTAGTCGCTCAACATGCTCGAAACGCTCAAAACGCTGACGAAAAGTGTGAACGCAGCCTAATCCTACACAATTAACATAAGGAGATTCAACGAATCATCAGAAATGACGCTTATGCAATTAGGGAGAGTCATGCGACAAAGTAATCCCCCCACTTCCATGTTTAGCCCTAGAAGTCCACGTCATCGCTGAAGAGCCCCTCTCAAGCTGCCGCATGCCCTCTCCAACTACAGAAACGTCTCAGAAACTGAAATCTTCCAATGGAAAACATACGTGGAGCAATAGCAATCGTTCCTGTGACGCGAAGATGACGTAGATATCCTGGGAGCTGATCGACCTTGTGCCCTATATCCGCCAAGGCTAACCATACATCCGTAGCTATGGGGATAGTTCGGCCAGCAACTTCACAATGCAATTTCGCTCCCAAACTAATCGAACATACATCTGAAAGTGGTTATGGTGGATCCGGATATAGAAATTGTTTCTCAGTCATTATCATCGACGTAGGTTGGGGCGTGTCAACGGTGCATCGGTTTTGGCGCGGCTTCAGCCCCTTTCAGATCACACTTTGTAAAACCGAAGTCACTACGATCGATGGGAAACGAGCTGGAGTTGTGCCAAAACACATGCAGGCCCCGACTGAGTCCAGTGGCAATAAATGAACTCATGCGTCAAACTGAATTGTCAGCCAAGAAAACAGTAAAATAGAGAAAAAAGAACAACAGGAAAGTAATAATTAAGAAAACCGAAACTAGATGAATGTAAAAAAAGTTTTTCATGATGAAATTCTCACAATTTTTCAAGCGCTGCGCTAGGGTTTCCAGAATATTTGCATCGATGGCATCGAATCCAACCGATGAGCATATAGCAGCTACTGACTGTCGAATTACTTGTTCATATGGATCATCCTCAGGCCATATTTCTGGCGGGATTTCACCATCACTCCTAAAATACAATGCACTTTCGCTTCGGATGAACTATTCAAAGCAGTTTCATAAAAGTAAACGCCGAACAATTATTTTCCAGCTTTTCTCTACCTGACCTCGGCATCGTTGCTTACTCTGTTTATACTGCAGTGCCTTCCGCGGTTTTTAAGTGGCGCACTCTGGCCGCAGGGTACAGCATCGTTGTGTGATAGGGGGAGGGGTCGTTTCCGCAAGGGAAGGGGGTGGTGTATTTGGTCGTCGGGAGAGGAAGGGAGGGGGGGGGTCGTATGTGCCTTGAGAAATTTGCCGCGTTGGGAAAAAATTATCCCGGTTGTTGACTTTTCGCGTGATGTTTCCCGTTTCGTGTGTACTATATTTCCCTCGAACGTGATGGAAAATCTTTGGGTGAAATACTGGAAAATATGCAAATTGGTAGGTAGGTGCTGGGGAAGGGGGAAGGGAGTCGCACTGACACCACCATTTCACACATCACGATGCTGTACCCTGTCTGGCCGTCTGTACCCTTTGAGCCTCAGCTTGGAAGGGAAAATTATCCCGATAAGTGGACACAGAGGAGCGGACTTCACCGCATTCCTGCACCTTACAGCTCCCCCCCCCATTCCCCGCTCCACCCCTCACTCAATAGAAGCGCCGCAAAAAAACAATCAAAATGGAGGAAAGAAAAAGGGTTACTTCTAAGGGTATTAAAACACATCTCACGTACTTGGCTTCAATTCCTAACGGTACCGGCCGTACTGGAGCAGCTGGAGAAGAGCCTACGGCTTCATCTTCAAGAAGATTTGCATACGCATCGAGCTCTTCGCTGTATTTAGTTTCAGGTGTGTCCAGTTTGATGGGGCGGCCTTAAAATATCGAAGATCGGTGTCGTCTGTGCATTAGGTTACGGCCGTAAAGAGACAAAGATCGCATGTAGAACGACGCACGGCTTATACATGCATCAATATCAAGTCACAGACTGACAAAAGACCTTGTTTTCCATTTACGAGACCCGATTTCAATGAAGTTTTCCATTTAATTTCATTTACAACGGACACATGCATGGAACGCGCTTTACCGAACAATCACGCAAAGAGGTCAGCATTCAAACTGTTGGTGTAAGAAAAAAAAGTCGCATTTCGGCTTGGAGGGGGCACCGTATAGTACTCAGCTAAGCCTGTACAGGTCATCCCATGAAAACCTGTAAATTGTTGTGATCAAATTGGCTCATTCGCACAATATCGCAGCTTCACAGACGCTTACAGGTCTCACTAAAAGAAACCTGTTATTAAACATGAGCTGCCAAAAGATTGTAGCGAAAGTGCAAAACGTCCCTTCCAAGCCGAACAGCGGTAAAAAGATGAAGTTCAACCTAGCAAGAGATGAACATACTGCCTTTAATGAGTG